TTATCAACGTTATATTTTAAGATCTGTGCAAGAACTCAGCTAACAGATGTTTCCGTATATAAAAGCTATCTTCAAGTTTTGTTCACCAAAAAACTTTTCAATTATACATACACTTATTGCACTAAGAAACCATTGTTTCTGCAAAAAATTACTCACTTACTCAAGTGACATAGTAACTGTGGAAACAATTTATAACCTCGTAAATAAGTAATAGCTGATATTGTCATCCACTGTGTGGAACGTAGAGCTGCTTCGTGAATATTTGAGGTATGTTCACATATTATCATAATCAGGAAAAATTTGAATTTTGTCCAAAATAATATACCTGAAGAAATTAAAATTGGTGTAACCCCCTTTTTTTTTACACTGCTTTTCCAAGCTTTTTAAAAAGGGGAATATATCTGAATGCAGTTACAATACACATAACAGCTTGAACACAGTCTTAACAGTTGTGTGATTGATTTGACCTTTCGTTATTTTTAGCTTGGACATATAAACTGTTGGTGTGGCATGTCTTCACACTTCCTGTATTAAACACCACACATCTGGATCACATCCACACCGAGTTCTTTCCATCTAGATGTTATAAGACTGGTGGAGCCAGTCAGTTAAATATCTGTGCAGTGTTTTATTTATAAATTCCAAATTTCTTGATTCAAAAACGAGGCTTACGTTGGTGCTACTGACGTTGGATATATTTGATACTGCGACGTGTTTAGAAATGAAGATGTATGGATACCCAGACTGTGAACAGTGGGATAGTTCTGCCATAATAATGTATCTTCATACGGTGGAGGGTTCTGGTCATACTGAAACTGTTTCTCTTTCTTCATGATAGTATCGTAGGCTGGAGGTGGAGATGGTGTTCCAGATTCAAGTGTGACACCACTTATAATTGCTTCCTGTTCAGGAAAAAAAAATTGTAATTAAATATATATATATATAAATTTGAAATTATTATTTACTCCTTTCAACACATATTTTAAGTCTAATAATGCACGAGTAACATCATGTACTATAAATTTTATTAAGCTGATGTACAAATTTATTTTCTTGCATGTTTTCAAAAAAAAAACAATCGTGGACAAAAGTTAATGAAGTAGAATTTACTTCTGGTAGGAAAGTGTTAATATTTTGATATACATGTTTTAAGACATCATAATATAACAACATGCAAATCAGGAACAAAACCTGGTGCTACCAACTATGAGAATTACATTTAACCCCACCTATTCAGGTGGTGGTTGCTGCGGACTGGGTTGTCTTCTCTCTGATCCACAGTTCAACATTAGGGACAGCTAACCCCTGGACCATAAGGGTCTCTTGACTTAGCCATTTAGTGCATTGTGTGTGAGCATAAAGCATCATTCAGGTGAAGAAACAAACAAGCATTATATAATGTGAAACACACACACACACACTAGGACTTTGTAATGCCTGCTGAATGCATGTTTATATTCTAGCTGTTCAATGGTAAATATTACTTACAACATTGAACATTATATTTAATTAGCTATGCTCAGTATTTTCGTTTCTAATCTATATAGATTATTTTCTTTGATCAAAAGTTCATATTAAGTTCTTTTCTAATCTATATAGACAGATTTCTCTGATTTTGAGTTGTTTTATAAAAAGGGGAAAAAAATATTTTTTCATTCAATGTTTTCTTTTCAGTTAGGTAATAACTGTTGTATTTTTAGTTTATATTACACTTGGTATTGAGAATGAGAAACTGGAGATAAATCACATTTTATAAGAGTGGTGTTCCAGCTCTTGTGCTGATCTGGGAACTGTTTCCTCCACCATCAATCAAGGATGATCTGATGGCCATGATTATTTGCTATTACTCAACACTGCACTTACCATTGTAAGTAGCTTATAATTTAAGGCAAGCCGGAAGCTTATGAATTTTGTGTTGATCGAGTCTTTGTCTATTATAGAGTTAAAAGTATCGGGAAATATACTCATCTTTAATCCAGTGGCATTTTTGGTAGAAGTTTCTCATTTGTAACCATTGTCTTCACTGTGTGAATGACATTGTTCATGGACCCGTTGTTTTCCTATATACATTGCTGTACAAGTTTTTGTTGTAATTTTTTAATTTTGAGAACATCATCTAAATAGTGTTTTTCAGTTTTTATCACGTTTAGTAACCTTGGCATACAAATATCCTTCCTTAGAGAGAACTGTGACAATTTCATTCAGCCATAGGTCCATTCATTTCAGCATCACACATCGAATTGTTAGGAATACTAAAGTGAACCTTTTCACTCATTAGCTCTGTGTTCACGGGTGGGGGGTTAAAACGTGTATGTCCGACCTTGAACATAGTTCCATTCAACATGATATTGTACATTTATCTTGCACTTTGACTCAATAGACAAGATCATTTGTATTCTTCACATGAACATTATCTTCCACTTCAACTCAATAGACAAGATCATTTGTATTCTTCACATGAACATTATCTTCCACTTCAACTCGATAGACAAGATCATTTGTATTCTTCACATGAACACTCAATAGACAAGCTCATTTGTATTCTTCGCATGAACATTATCTTGCACTTCAACTCGATAGACAAGATCATTTGTATTCTTCACATGAACATTATCTTGCACTTCAACTCGATAGACAAGGTCATTTGTATTTTTCACATGAACATTATCTTGCACTTCGACTCAATAGACAAGATCATTTGTATTCTTCGCATGAACATTATATTGCACTTCAAATCGATAGACAAGGTCATTTGTATTCTTCACATGAACATTATCTTGCACTTCGACTCAACAGACAAGATCATTTGTATTCTTCAGATGAACATTATCTTGCACTTCGACTCAATAGACAAGATCATTTGTATTCTTCGCATGAACATTATATTGCACTTCAAATCGATAGACAAGGTCATTTGTATTCTTCACATGAACATTATCTTGCACTTCGACTCAATAGACAAGCTCATTTGTATTCTTCAGATGAACATTATCTTGCACTTCGACTCAATAGACAAGATCATTTGTATTCTTCACATGAACATTATCCTGCACTTCGACTTCTCAGAGTCTTAGTTAGATCGACATTTCACAGACGTATCTTTAGTAATACCTCTGATTTTTTGGGTAGAATAGATTGATTAAAAGCTTGCTACATTTCGTGAAGATACACTTTGTAAGTTTGGAATTAAAGTCAACATTCTTCAATACGGGTCAGTCCATTGCACATTCATTATGAAAAGTAATAATGTGATAAAACAGCACCAAATGCTGACAAATATTCATTTGATTATGTTTCGAAATCGTTGTTGTTTTGCAGGTACATCATTTTTAACCAGAGTAAATCTATTGAAATACATTAGCAAAGGAACCGGAAAATGTTGAGCTTAAAAAGTAATATTATAAACTGGGGCGTGGGCCACCTCTTCCACGTTTTGAGCCATATTACACAAACCATTTGTCCGTTTGGTTTATGTGTTGTCGGTAAGAGATAAAATCTACTTGAACAAGCTTGTCTGGGTATCGAGTGCTAGAAAGTCTATTAGGTTTATGTATTGTCGGTAAGACATAAAATCTACCTGAACAAGCTTGTCTGGGTATCGAGTGCTGGAAAGTTTATTAGGTTTGTGTATTATCGATAAGAAATAAAATCTACCTAAAGAAGCTTGTCTGGGTATCGAGTGCTGGAAAGTCTATTAGGTTTATGTATTGTCGGTAAGACATAAAATCTACCTGAACAAGCTTGTCTGGGTATCGAGTGCTGGAAAGTTTATTAGGTTTGTGTGTTGTCGATAAGAGATAAAATCTACCTAAAGAAGCTTGTCTGGGTATCGAGTGCTGGAAAGTTTATTTGGTTTACGTGTTGTCGGTAAGAGATAAAATCTACGTGAACAAGCTTGTCTTGGTATCGAGTGCTAGAAAGTCTATTAGGTTTATGTATTGTCGGTAAAAGATAAAATCCTCCTGAACAAGCTTGTCTGGGTATCGAGTGCTAGAAAGTTTATTAGGTTTATGTATTGTCGGTAAAAGATAAAATCTACGTGAACAAGCTTGTCTGGGTATCGAGTGCTAGAAAGTCTATTAGGTTTATGTATTGTTGGTAAGAGATAAAATCTTCCTGAACAAGCTTGTCTGGGTATCGAGTGCTCGAAAGTTTATTAGGTTTGTATATTGTCGGTAAGAGATAAAATCTACCTGAACAAGCTTGTCAGGGTATCGAGTACAGGAAAGTTTATCAGGTTTATGTATTGTCGGTAAGAGATAAACCCTACCTGGACAAGCTTGTCTGGGTATAGAGTGCTGGAAAGTTTATTAGGTTTATGTATTGTCGGTAAAAGATAAAATCTTCCTGAACAAGCTTGTCTGGGTATCGAGTACTGGAAAGTCTATTAGGTTTATGTATTGTCGGTAAGAGATAAAATCTTCCTGAACAAGCTTGTCTGGGTATCGAGTGCTGGAAAGTTTATTACGTTTGTGTATTGTCGGTAAGAGATAAAATCAGTATCGAGTGCTGGAAAGTTTATTAGGTTTGTGTGTATTGTCGGCAAGAGATAAAATCTACCTGAACAAGCTTGTCTGGGTATCGAGTACTGGAAAGTTTAATAGATCTATGTATTGTCGGTAAGAGATAAAATCTACCTGAACAAGCTTGTCTGGGTATCGAGTACTGGAAAGTCTATTAGGTTTATGTATTGTCGGTAAGAGATAAAATCTACCTGAACAAGCTTGTCAGGGTGTCGAGTACAGGAAAGTTTATCAGGTTTATGTATTGTCGGTAAGAGATAAACCCTACCTGGACAAGCTTGTCTGGGTATCGAGTACTGGAAAGTTTATTAGATCTATGTATTGTCGGTAAGAGATAAAATCTACCTGAACAAGCTTGTCTGGGTATCGAGTACTGGAAAGTTTAATAGATCTATGTATTGTCGGTAAGAGATAAAATCTACCTGAACAAGCTTGTCTAGGTATCGAGTACTGGAAAGTCTATTAGGTTTATGTATTGTCGGTAAAAGATAAAATCTACCTGAACAAGCTTGTCTGGGTATCGAGTACTGGAAAGTTTATTAGATCTATGTATTGTCGGTAAGAGATAAAATCTACCTGAACAAGCTTGTCTGGGTATCGAGTACTGGAAAGTTTATTAGATCTATGTATTGTCGGTAAGAGATAAAATCTACCTGAACAAGCTTGTCTGGGTATCGAGTACTGGAAAGTTTATTAGATCTATGT